CAGTCCGCGCCTATCGGCCCTCGGAATTCCGTCCGCATCAGAAGGCTCGCGGTGCCGACGCAGCTCCAAGCGCTGCAGGGACGGGCTCAGCCCGAGCACCGTGCTCATCTCCGCTCCGCACAGCACGGCCGAACCCCGCGGCGCAGCCCCGCGAGATGCGCGCACGGCGCTGCGCTCCGTCAGGGAGCCGCGCTGCTCCCACCGGCAGCCGCGTCATCCGCAATCCGCCGCCGTAATAGGCTTTGTCTGGTACGGGGCAAACCCCATTAGGCATGAAAAGGCAGAGCTACGGAAAGGAGCCGGCACTGACAGCCTGCTAAATGGGGAGGGTTCTGCAGGACAGTGGGACTCAGCTGGTTTGGAAAAAATACACCATGCAGACACACGCGTTACATTTTTTCTCTCTCTCTCTGTCTTTTTTTTTTTTTTTGTGTGTGTGTGTGTGTGAGGGTAAAAATAGGATCTCAGTTTGCTGAATATACTCTTAGCTGCTGTGTGCTATCATTCACTGCTAGCTTTACAACTGTTGTTCTGTCTGCCTTGGCCCAACCCCATGGAATAACCTCCACGTCTTTTGCCGCTTCTTGCAATCCTTTGTACAGAATTACATCATATGAACAAATGATCTGGGGCCAGCAGCAACTCTAAATGCAAGCAGGCAGCTGCATGTGTAGAAGCTGGTACGGCTGTGCAGGAGGTGCTCAGCACTGCCTCAGATCCACCAGGCTGGGATGTTCTGCTGGGATGGGACAGGAGAGAACAACAAAGCAATGCTGGGCAGTTACAGATGGACAGTGTAAATATTTAAGCATCCCATGCTGGCGTGCAGAATGTAAGGCAGGCAGCTTTTGCACTTGTAATTTCTTTAAAATCTTTTCGTTTTCTTTTTACTAAGACGCACAGATAACAGAAACTCGGGTTTTGCTGAGCAAATGGAACATGTGTGCTTGAGCCTGGCCACAGCTCCAGGTCATCATGAGAGGCTTGAAAAAAGGGTCTTCGAGGCTCATTTCTGTGCCTGCAGACCTTGTGACAGACACTGCACACAGCCGTGTTGTTAAGATTAGGACTGCAATTATTTTTTGCTGATTTGGTCAGCTTGAGCTTTTCTAGTGGAATTTCTCTAGAGGGCAGTAAGGATTCAAAGCAGCCTCAGTGCGTAAGTGTCTGTATATAAATTTGGTAGAAATGACAGATCATCTTTGCACATCAGTAAAGGTTACAAGAGTGGGTGCACATGTAGGGTAGAGCAGCTAAAAGCACATAAAGCGTACTGTACACTCTTCCTTCTCATAGCATCACCCAGGATGATATTTCATTGCACATTTGTATTCTAAATTACTTAAAGTATTTTGCTTTTAATCTTGTTGCGAAAGGGCCTTTCTGTTAGAGAAGATTCAGTTCGGGTTAGTGGAGGGCATAGTAACAGGGATACAAATTGGAGAAATGAGCCAAGGGTCCGTGTGAAACCCTTTGATTAACACCCTGGAGGGCTGAGACAAGAATTTCTTCCGCGACTCCTACCTATTACTTCCAGAAAACTGAGGATACAAGAGCTGGAGCGAGGTCACAGTGCAGCACACGTGCTCATTCTCTGGCTGCAGTGTGGTTGAGCAAGCTCAGGTTCAATGGGACACAGGGACACAGGCCATGCTGCAGGGCAGGTGGCCGGAAAAAGTGATCGGCAATTATATTCCAGCCAATACCTGATAATGTGGTGTCCCTGCTTACACTGAAATTTAAGCTGTTTATCAGACTTGGCGATGCCATGAATGACAAAAGATCTTTGTGTGATCCTATAATATCTTTATGTAATGTAATAGAAGCTCTCTCGGTTCCAGGGTATTAACCATTTATCGTTGATTTCAAATAGGGCAGGTGTGGTTGAATTCCAGCCACGCTGTGTGCAGCCAGATGCAGGCAGGCTCACATTTCTGCAGGTGCCTGTTCCACTGATACAATGAGACATAAGGCTCAGAGACACCAGAGGTACAAGCAGAGAGATAAGCTCTGAGATCCAGTTGTCTACAGTGCCAAAGCAAAACACCCCTAAAATCTGAGTTCAACTTGGTGTGCAGACTTGGAGAACTGAGCAGAAAATGTAATTTATGATCCAGTCGTTCAGGGAGCCACTGGATTTCTTATCTGTTACAGCAATGAGGTTGCCCAGATCCACTTTACTCAGGAGTTTACAACAGCGGCTGCTGCTGCTGGATACTTTCTATTAATGCTTCACATTCATACAAACTCCCTGCTCCCGGCAGCACCTCTACACCTTCAGCTGCTTACAGCAGGGCTGCTCACGCTGCCACTCACAGCCCACCAAGGAGCACACTGTGTGCTGCTGGCAGCGACCGCACAGCTCGGAGCAGCTCTGGCAGTGGGGAGCAGCCTCTGTGCAGCTCGGAGTGGTGCCCACATGGCCCTCGTGTGCAGCCACGTTTGAGAACGTATATGAATTTGTGCAGCATCATCAACATGTGGGCAAGTGCTATGCCAAAACTGAAGTTTGGGGCAGAAGTATCAAGGCTAGCCTGGGCACTTCAAATCGACAACCAAAGTGCAACCTTTCAAAGCAACTGAAAATTAGAATGGTATGAACAATGTGAGAGTGGGCTAGATTTTATTGTGAGATTACATTTTTAAGGAATACTAAATTTAGGATCTAAAGATGTTCATACTTGAATATATTTAAATAATTAGTCTGTAAAATATTCATCCTACAATCTGTATTCTTGCTTTTCAGGTGTCTTAGCATCCAACAAATCCGTATTCCTGACCTTAAAAAGAATGTTTCTTGCCTGAAACAAATTTAAACAATAATGTAAGATGCCATAAAACCTGAAACCACTTATGTCAAGTCAACAGGAGATTCCGTCACGATAATTCCTTCCTCGCTTACAAAACAGCTTGGAATCTGGCTCGGCTTCACCCAGCACCTTCACCTCTCCTTTCCTGTCCTGCTCCTGCCGGTGCAGCGCCCTGCCCTGGGCTGTGCTGTGGGGTTACCAGATGCCTGGGCACCCCTGAGCCCTGCTGACAGCCGTGCTGGTGCAGGCAGCACTGCACTCGTTGGGCCGCTCTGAAGATCTGATCCCCAGGGAAAGCGGCCCAGGTTGAGTCACCCATGTGTCACCTCAGTGGTCACAGGTGCTTGGTCCTGGAGGCGGTGTGAGGAATGGTTTCCTGAGCCAAGGCCATGTCTTACAGGTTCGCTTAACGCAGACACTGCTCTAGGATCTTCATGAAGGATGGGTGCCAGCCCTGTGTTTGGCTCTCAGTAGGGCACTGAAAGCAACAGCTGAGCAGTGGTGAGAAAACCCATCCCCTCCTCACCTATGGTACTATGTGTGATGAGATCCTTGCTGAGCATTTACTTTGGAAGTACTCAGGTAGCTTTCACTCCACTGTTAGGTTGTTTGGTACAAGCACTGAGGCTCATAAAGAGAAGTACGCCTTCAAAAGAGGAATATCTGCCTAAAACAGATCTATTTCAAAGCCAGTGGCCCAAAAGCAATTGATGTTTGGGGTCCTCAATATAATTCAAACCACGCTCTCCCTCAGAAAAAGCTTTTAGTTAAGGGGCTATGATTTTAAAAGGCTTTATACCCCACATGTGCACTATGGATCATGGAACTGGGAAGCAGTAAAAGCTGAATACAGCTAGTATAGTAGGGACTGACAGCATTATGACTTTTATCAGTTGTAGGATAAATAAGTCCAGTCTTAGTAAGACAGTTAAGCCAATATGACCATGCTGCTACGCTAAAGATTTATGGCGCACCGTCCACCCTATAAAGCAATTGTTCAGAAACCAAGGGCTCTAAAATCCTTGTTCGGACAAGTCGTCCTTGTTCCAAGTTCCACTGAGCTCCCTTCCCATTAGCTAGAGCAATCTTCCCAAAAAGTACCAGAGAAGTAAACAGAGTATATGAGGTGCAGGCCAACAGACGCAGCCTTTCATGCACAGTCCAGCTTGCCTTGCAGGAGCATCTGGAACAAGAAGCCAAACATCACGAATTCATCATCTGGAAGATACCAGCAGAGCAGACCTGGAGCAGCTTACTCTTGGCTCAACTGGTGACATCTTCTATTGCCCATGCCAGAGTTCCCCCATCTATACGACTAAACAGATAAAGCTACTTTCCAAATCCCTTTCATATCAGTAAATGAAAGACACAGATGCCAAGTGTCATAACGAAAATATTTTTGTGGGTTATTTGGAATTATTGGGAAACCCATACTGGACACTGCTCCTGGAATGTTATTTCAGTTGTTCTTTTCCAGCAAGAGTACTTTTCTCCAAAAACATAAAGGCCTGAAAGGATGAAGTAGATCAGATTTAGTGGCTCAGGATCAGTCAGTTGCTCTTAGTGCAGTTAGAAGGAGTTGAAGGGAAGATGGGTGGTTTCAGGAAGATACCTATGGGGAGATGTGTGCCAGGATTCAAGCCTGGTGATTCATAAGCTGTTCGTCAGTAGCTGTTAAATATCTGCTTTTTGCCAACGCTCACTGTTTCAGTCTGCCAAAGATACTGGATAAACAGTCGCTGTTAAAAATTTATAGTTACTCTGGGGAAAACAAAAGCTTTTTGTGGCATAATGCAACATCATAAATTAAAACTTTTTTTTTTTAAATTAAGAAGTTACATCATGTTTTGATGTAATGTGATGTGGCAGGTCATGCTTTTAATTTTAATAAGCTTAAAAAAGAGAGAGAGAGAGAAAGAGAGAGAGATTTGGGAATATAAATATTGCTTCTGAACCTCTAACATCTCCTGGTGGAGGCTAGCAAAGCAGGTTCACCTCTGCCACCCGGGTTCAAGTCTTATTTCAGAAAAACAATTTGAAATGACTTCTGGAGGTATCAGCATCAGTTAATGAACTGAATTTCCACTCCACAGACCTTTCAGGAAATTGCCAAACAGCATTAGCACTCCTATTGTATTTGTCATACTTAGGAATTGCTGCGCTTTGAAAGCGCTGTCATCTCCAGCTTACCTTGTTAGAAGCACCTTGTAACATCCAAGCATCTTCAATTAAAAAAAGGCACCTGGGAGAGCCAGGAGTGTGTTTCAGTGGTGCTTGAAGTCAGTTCCCACTGATTTCAGGAGCAGCCGCAGGACTCCAAGTGCATCTCTGAACAGCCAGTCCTTAAGCAGAGGAATCTCATTTTGGACTTCAGAACTGAGACCCATCAGATGAGCAGTCAGTCACTCCAAGCAGCGGCAGCTCTTTTTGGCATCGTGTGGTTATGACAGAGCAGAATTCATGTATTCACGTATCTTTAAACTGGTGTGAGCTTTCTGCACATCTCAGACGAGGCCTGCAATATGGAACAGAGAAGTGATAAAGTTTAGGTTCTCTTTTCCAGAAAAAAAATCCTCTTTTGATGTTTATGCATGAGCCAGCACAAAGGGATGTGAGCCTTGATTTGAACCCCTGGTCACCTCCGGATGGAAAGAATCATACGTACCACAGGACCACCACAGAGGGGAAATAGTTTTCTATTCAGCACGTAACCTCCTGAATCTTATCTTTTTAATATTATTATTTTTTCTACAGCTCAGTCCTGACCAGAGCCCTGCATTTATTTAGTCATATCTGACAGAACGTTACTCGATGGCCCCTGCTCATTTCTCACTGACATGCTCTGACTTGGCCATATGTGTTCCTCGGAGGGCGATTGCCCTCGTGGCACGTTGGCTTTGGCTGCAGAGGAATCCTGGAGCTCTCACTGCCTCCGCTGGCAGAATGTTGGCACTTTCTGGAGAAGTCTTGCATAAGCCTTGGGAGAACGAAATAGGAAATGACCACTGTAACGCAGCTGAGTAATGCGGTTCATTTCGAACTGCTCCGACAAGCACCTCACCCTCTGCTCTGCCCGAAGTAATTGTTAAGGGCTGTTTAGGTCTGTTCCCTTTCATTCTCCTTTTCTGACTTGCTTTTTTTCAGTTCTCTTATTTGTTTTACAAATAGTGTATTTTTCCATCCTGACTCTCATCTGTATACTTTTAATCACATTCAGAATAGAGGAGCAAGGGTGACCCATTGTCCTCACAAGTGACATCTAGTCTCTGACTTGACTGACAGGAGGTACCATTAGAATAAGCATCCCTTCCCTGACAGAGGCTATCCATGTTAACATTTCTGTTCTCTGGGCTATATATTTGATCTTACATAGCTGTAAATTATGAGTGACTCCATCAAAGTCAGAGGCATTGCTCCAGAGCTAACATGGTGTAGGTCAGCTCAGATTCATGCTTTTGGGATTTCAGACGTCTCACTGGGGCTCCTGTTGCATTGCTGGTTACTTCTCTCATTCAGCTTTGTACGTGCTTAGAGTAAGTTGGCAAGAGTGCCCAATACAAGTGCTTATCACACGAGTCATTGCCTTGAATTTCTTGAAGATCAGGTTCAAGCTGGTATTTGAACTTGGTTATGGAGACAGAAACGTACAGCACATTACTGTACCGTAAGTCATATCAGGGCAATATCAAAACAGAGTAAAAGTTAAACAGAATGTCTGAAATAATTTCTCTGTGTACACAGAGTACATCTCCTTGGGGTAAAACTGATCTTTCAATTCAGAGTGCACATGGAAAGTAAACTACTGGAGACAGAGAAAGTTCAACATCATCAACTGAAGAGAACTGGACGAGATTGAACTTGAGACAGTTAAACTGTAAATAAGAAAAAGATTTTGCCTTCAACTCCACAATTTTACACTCATATTCTATGAATGTTTCCAGCTCTGGCAATTTTTCTACATCAGAGACGAGCTCAGAATGTTAGAGGAAAGCTGTGTGGCAAAGGACAAGGAATGCAGAGTTTGACTCATGTGAGAAGGAATGCGCTCACCAGGAATAACGTTTACAAAACTCATTTCAGGAGGTTCAAAACCACAGTGAGATCAAAAGGTGCGTGATCAGCACAACTGGGAAAGCAGAGCAGAAATTGGTGTTGGGAAAGTAGGAAGGGCCAGAGGTGGGCGAGTGCAGAAGGCTCTTTGTAACTGATAGAAAACAGAAAAAGGGGTTGTAAGAACTTCGTACTTTGTATTCTCTTAGATAACGAGAACATAAAACGTCTGGTTCTCATCTTTTTTACACTTATGTAAAATTAGGATCAACTCAACAAGTTAATGGAGTTACATGGGTTTAAATCTGGCATAAGTGAGATAAGAAACAGGCCCATCAGTTCATTAAGGACTTCATTAACTGTGACTGGAATATCTTGCAGTGCCTGTGTTCCTGCAAATAAAAACATGCATTTGAGGCCACAGGAAGGTATACTGCATGCCCTGATGTGTATGCATCCAACCAGCTGCCTGTTTCAAAGTCAGAAGCTAGAGGGCTCTGTATAGTTGCATCTCATGTGGGTGAATATGTACAATACTTGTGCAATAGTGGGACTTGTGCAACAAGAGAGATGCACACCCAGGTGGGGCTCACCTGTCATCAGCAACAGGCTGGGTGCAGAAAAGTGGGCACAGGTCTGAGTGCACACAAGACCTCCCATTTAATTCAACTTTGTTGTGGCTTATTGGCTTACAAAATTATCCTGTTTATGTTTATCTCACTTACAAATAAGTTAAATATATAACTACATTCCACTCTGCTCTGCTTTCTGCCAAGGATATACTTATGGTCTTATGATGCTACTCAACCCACTCTATACCAATTTTACTTAAACATCAAAACAAAAGGATATTAAAAACTCGGTCCCCAGGAAGGATCTGGAAAGCAAGGGAACAAGCAGCTCCCTCAAAGATCTCATTCCCCTGCATGATTGATGGGCTCCATTACTTTGACTTTGCTGTTTGATCAAATGGTAAATCATGTAAATATACCGTGCGTGAGAGTCAGAGCAGTTTGAAAGAACTGAAAATTTTTGTTTAAGTTATAGGTCAAGCAGCAATTTCCCAGAACAGCCCTTCATGGAAGCAAAGATTTTCTTCCTTTTAAGCACACATCAGACCAATCTAATTTACTAGGGAGAAAATTCACTTTAGTGCAGAAGGACAATCCAGATGTATACACTATTTACGCCCTTGTTAAGTGAAAATTGGGATAAGTGGTACTAAGTGGGTGCATAGATCTTAAGCTTGTCCTCTTCAATTGGGTGAGTTTTACCCTTAATAAGAAGTATAAGTAGAGCATCAGTGTTGTCTAGATTCTTATGAAAACCATTAGCACACAGCTGAGATTCACCATGAAGATGCAGCAGAAAGTGTAAATTAATCAAGTGCTATTTTACCAGCTATATATACTTCTCATGTAGTGCTTCCCATGTGTAAGCTGTGGACTCTATTATGTCTTGCCCAAATTATGCTGAATGAGAGGTTTTGAATTCATTTCTATCATTTCTACATGGGCTTTCCTTATGCATTTCTGCTCAATTTCTGCTATTTCTTCTGCTGAAAATTTATCATATCACAAAGGAATGCTGCAGACTATTTAGTCTTGTGTGACTTGCTACATTTGTCCTTGGAAAGGTCTACATCAACAGAACGCAGAGGAAGGCGAATGAAGCTCAGCAAAGCACATTCAGTACAAGCACTCAAAGCAAACTGGACCACAGCCACAGATCCTGCAGTCACTGAAAGACTGAATGATAACCGTGATACACAAGCTGGGAATGAACGGGGATTCCAAATACGTCTGAGGTAGGGAGAGCACCAGAGGACAGCTTGGCTGGGATTTTCAGCCATCTCTACAAAGGTGAGCACTGCTGTGCTGCACTGAGCAACATAACAGCTATTTCACCAAACACTTCTGAATTATTTAAACAATGTAGAGTTAAACCAGTAAAAAGAAGCTGATTAGCAGGATAGGAATCACTATGATTTGAGGACCAAAATGTAGAGGGAAAACTGATGGGATCTGTATCGGTTTGATTTTCAGTTATTTATGTATTCAGGCACTCTGTTCCAGTTTTCCTATTTTGGGTTCTAACACTTGTTTGCCAGTTTGACTTGGTGCACATAAATCCCATTTAACTGACAAAACTGAGGTTCCTTACATATGAGTGCCTCCTTCACATAACCCAAGCCGAGGGGTCAAGGTCCAATTCTTTGGTTCCCAAGGTACATTACTTCTACTATTCAGACAGCTCTAACTCTCCTGAAACAGGCTGGATTTCTGCAATGAAGGACGATGCCAGAGAACGCACAACATCAGCTAGAGGACCTGTGTCCTGGAGAGGAGAGACCCCAGTCCTTCAGTGATGGCTGCAGTGCAGTTCCCACAAAACTGAGGGCTGACCGACTGCTCCTCTCAGCGTGGTGGCATCTCTTCCTAGAGACTGTCACTCCTACCATCTCATTCCCAACCTCCAAGCCTCAGGGTGATAAGGAAGGAAAACACTCTAAGTATCCTGAGAGCATTTCATTAGATGTTCTCAAGTAGGCAGCTTGAATTGCTAATTAAACTTGGAAGACTCTCTTTTCCTGTTTTCTCTTTTTTTTCAGCTTGACCCCAAATCAGCTTTATCTCTCGTTCAAAAAGCCTCCCTGTCCCAGGGAAATGTAAATGACACCTCCATGTGTCTTAGTGAGTTTGGCTCATGCCCTAATGCCAGCCACATCATTGCTTTGTACATCAAAAGAACTCTCTCTGACACAGACATTGGTTTACCTTAGCTGGAGTGACTCATCACTTTCCCACAATTAAATTTTTGGGCTCTAATGCAAAGCAGACTTATCTGCTTTGACAGGACAGTATGGAATAAACAAAAAAGACTAAATTTGTATTGGCAGCTACCACTGCGCTGCAGTTATGAGTAATGCAGCATAACTAGAAAGGACACCAAGCACCAAGAAATCAAAATAGATTCTGTAGCTGGAGAGCCAAAAAAGAAGAAATATCTGATGATCCCCCCTGACTGTAACTGACTGTTCAGTATTGTATCAAGAACTCTCTGGGAACCAGAGGAAGAAAACATTTCCAGTCTTCCCTTTCCTGCTACCTTTCCCTCTCCCTCTCCCTTGCCCTAATGGAGAAAACACATCTTTTGCACAGGATCAGATGAATTCCTCCAAGGCCCCGGCCCCATGCTTCTGATGGGCTGGGCAGCAGCCAACCAGAGATGCTGGGCATGGGGACAAAACATGGAATTTTGCTTTCATGCTCTCATCACATTGCTCCATTACCACGTCTGTGCACACAGCCCAATAAACAGCACGTACAAATAAACAGAACTCCTTGGCACGTGCTTAAGCAAATTAGGCCATGATTACAGACAGTTAAAAATTTGGATTCCCAACCTTTGTACACTTCTCTTGTGATGTTCTGTAATTGCTAATCGCAGCAATATCTGTGCAGG